GCATTAGAAAAGTTACCTTTTAATCACAGCGTGAGCAAAAAATTTTTTAATGAACGATAGATACCATCATTCCGATTCTTCCGATTACGCTTAGATTTTTTTTAAACCAATATATACATGTCCAAAATTTGAACTACTTAGTCACAATAGAGCTGTTGATAAAAATCGTTTTTAAAATCTTAACTTTTGCACCCTGTATATCGAAAATGGGACGCAAATTAGAAATGCGTTAATGAAGTCAAATTATTTTCGCCCAAGTAATATGTGATTAACGGCTTAACCTACCAATATGTAACGCCCTGTGTAGGTATTAAACCTTGCTACTCTCTCAACAAAAATTTAATTTTGGATAACCATACAGTGTATTTGCGAAAAAACAAGAAAAGCTCCAAAGGTTAACTGTGGTTTCCTGAAATGATAATTATGATGATTATTTAAGTAAATACATAAAAACTGCTCTCTTTTGATCTTACCCCAAAAAATGGTTTTATAATTTAAAAAATAAGTCCGATGATTCCACTAAACGTCCTTGAATTGTTATTTTTTATGCGGAATTTTCGGTAGCTCAAAAATATTTGTTCATTGTGTTAAACTTGCCCACGGTTGTAAGATACCATCAGATAAACAGTTTAATTTTTGTTTACAGCGTTGGGTCACCTTTATCGAAATTTTCTTTTTATTTTCCTTAATTTATTAGTAAATAACAAATTATACCAAAGGCAGCCTCTGAGAATAAAAATTCTTCTAAATTCATGTCCACAGAAAATCATAAAAAGGACAAATAGGCACCTTATCATTTAAGGAAAACCTGTTTAATTCTGAGTAAAAAAAATCTTCAGCTTGAAAGAAAAAAAATCCAAAGGTTTAAGAAAGATATATACAGGGTATCCCGAAATTCATGCAACAAAATTTGGTCACAGATTCTTAAGACAAATTTAGGGGACCCGTATTTTTTATTTTTGCCAAGTAGCCCCGTCTTTCGGAGTTACAGCCCCCTGAAGTCCGCCCCTAAGAATAATCTTTTTCTTATATCTCAGAACCCTGTTGTAAGAAAATCACTAAATTTGCCACACAGCGGTTTTATGACATGTAGAATCTGATGGTGCTACGTTTTTTTGGAGGGGAACCCCCTTAAGACAATTTTTCGTGGGCCCCCTTGCTTTTGGAGCCAAGAAAATTTGGTCGCATATTTAAATTTCTTAAAAATTATCAGTCCACTAGAAAGCCATTAAATTTAGACTCTTTGTCTCTTTATACTTTCTTCGTAAAACACAATGTTTCGAGAAAAATGTCAAAATGTGATCGAATGCATATCGTGATTCGCCATTTTCCTCAAAAACATTGCATTTTTCGAAACAAATATCAAGAGATAAAAAAGTTTCTAAATGGCTTTCTAGCTAACTAATAATTAAAAAAAAATCAAATTTGCGACCAAATTTTTCTGGTTCCAAAGACAAAGGGGGGGCACGAAAAAGTGTCTTAAGGGGGTTTCTTGCCAAAAAGCGTAGCACTGTGAGATTCCACATGTCATAAAACCCCTGGGTACCAAATTTAGTGATTCTCGTACAGCATGGTTTTGAGATATTATAAAAAGACTTCTTAGGGGCAGATTTCAGGGGGCTGTAACTCTGAAAGAGGGGGCCAGTTGGCAAAATACGGGTCCCCTAAATTTGTCTTATGAATCTATGATCAAATTTTGTGGAATGCATGAATTTCCGGACACTCTGTATGTTCAATTTCAATTCAATTTAAAAATTAAAATAAATTAATTCAGGAATTAATAGAACATTAAAAAATATAATTATTTACTAGAATATTTTCTTTTCCCGAAAATACATTGGAGCATTTCAGGCTTTCTGGGCAGATGGAAATTGCAAATCTTTGATTGGGTCAAAAGTAGTACCTACATATTAAAATTTTGTAAAAATGTTCCAAAGTCTTAATAAGACCTTCCTCAATCCGTTGCATCCGCTATTTGAAGCCATAATCCTTTAAAAGTAATACTTATTCACAGATGGACGCATCTTTTTACTAAACCACTTTTCAACATGGTGCTATGGATTTTCTATTACTTTCGGGCAGCAAAACCTAGGTTTCGTAGAATTTCTGTAAATTGTCTCACAACTTTTCTCTGCGGACGCGAGTTGCTAATAAAAACAGTGGCGTCGCAACTTAAACACTTTTATTTTCAAAACTATGTGGACTTTTTTTGACAGGCCTTAAAAATTACAGAATTTGACTTAAAATTTTAACGAATTGTAAAATAATGATTATTACTATTTTAAAAAGTTGTATAAGGTAATATTTTCTTACCCCTCAATTAAAGTTTAAAGTTTACCTCATGCAATATGACAAAAAATCGACAAAAAAAATATAATGGAAATTTTGTAACGAATCTACATCTATATTTCTGAAAGAGAAATGTTACTCGTTTCGAATATGGGGCACCTGAACAAGTTGCCCAATGCTTCTGTAGTTATTAGAAACGCATTTACGTGGCTGTAAAAAATAACAGAGAGAGGGGTGAACGACACTTGATGGAAGAGTTCTTTGACACCTGGGGATATTGGCCTAGGAAACAGTAGTTAATCGTAAATTGGGAAGAAAAAGCCGGGGGGGAACCGGATTTCATTTGGGTCAGATTTTTAGTGCGTACTTTCTATTTGTAATGAGGTCACGGTCCTAAAGGAGAAACAACAGAGTTCGAGGTCCTAATGGTGCATTAGCCTATTAGGCTAGGTAAGTAAGTATGTACACACTGCACTATTTGTTTGGGAATATCTCCGGATGGTCTACTATGCGTTTCACAAGATTCGGCTCCCCACTGGGCTAGAGTATATCCAGTACATTGCTGTTGAAAGATACTAATGAAGTAAAAAAAAAACATTCTGGATTATCTAAAGAAAAAAATCCGAAATTTGTAATGAGGGGTGGAAATAGTCGAGTATAATAAATGATATCCAATTTTGTCTTTTATTAGCTATTCAACTTCATTTTCAACTTGCTGATATTCTAATAGCACTACAAATTTCCTTTTTACAGCGTCGCTTAATATTACAGTTTCTAAAAATCAATGAACTCATGAAGCTTCCAAATATTTCGGCTTTCAAACAATTTTATTGAAAGTATTTCCTAACTGATTCAGTACTTGCCGTTCTCCAGTTAGATGATGTTACTCGACACTTTTTTCTTGATTTACTGGTTAAGGGGAAACTTTTTGTCCAGCATTTTAGAAATTTTAAGCAAGTTACAAACAATATCTCTTCACTGTGCCAGTTACACAAGTTTTCTTCACGGTAAAAATAAGGGGCAAAAGCATATTTTCACCCCGTACGTTTATTTTACTTTTCCTAAATTTGGCACGCCTGTTGAACATACAGAAAATCGCGTACGGTACTATAAATATAATCACACCCCACAGAATGCATTTAGGAAACTATTAACACGTGCATTAATCACAATTATTGCGTATCTTTACAAATTTGCTAGACAAAACAGGAAACGTACATTTTCTGATGTTTACATGTTCTCCGTGATCTTTCAGTGGAAAAAATTAAAGGAAGTTGCTCTAATTTAGCGTTGCGTTTCGCCCTTCCACAAATAAGATCCACTTCTTATTTGTGGAAGGGCGAATTGGGAGGTGACTATTAGACGCCTTCACTTTACCCATCCTTGTCTATCACATGGATTTCTATGGCTTACTTTGTCGCTCTTACGAAACTTCAGATAGACCATCGGTACTTTCCTACCCGGTATACATATGGTGGCACGCCTGATTCCTAAATTTCAAATCCGAAGATGTGTGAAAAGATGTTGTCTTCGTTCGTGGTATGAATATCTAGATATCTAGTAATCACACTACAGTTGCCTGTATAAAATATATGCAAAAGAAATATATAACGTTATCATGTTATTAACTACTTGTTATTGTATAAATTAAGTAAAAATATATGGTATTTAGTTCGCAAACCACTTATTGTTTATAATTTCATAAATATCAGCTCATTATAAAATTAACGGTGACTGTATAATACAACAATATAAATGATGATGAGTTAAATAAGTTTCGTACGTATTTCAATATTTAAAGTAAAAGAAACATGAAAACCTTAAATTATTATCAGGGATATTATCTTTTCATATTTAATGATATATAGGCAACCAGTCAAACTTATGAATGAAAATACTAGATGGCAACACTCCCAGAAAATCCCTGTCACTTCAGAAAAATCAACATTTTCAGCGGGTCTAAGTATGTATTTTTGAGTTTTTATTTACTTTTTGGGTATTTCCAAATTATGAGAATTTTTTCTAAGGAATTTCTAAAGTGTGTTTTTAACTGAAGTTTGAAGAAGAGGAAATCTACCGAACCGATATAAATTAATCCCAGCTAAAATATTTTATTTAGGTAACCTCTGCTCTTTGCTCTTTGTATGAATATGAATCATATAATATGTGCAATATGTGTATTTGATAGTTTGTCAACTACATTTACAGCAATTTAAAATTTGGCGCTATGTGACCTCTCTGACGTCAGCTTGACATAACGTCATTAGATCCAGAACAAGGTATACAACATGAAAGTTAACTCATCGCAAATCTATTTTTAGATTACTTTTTAATTTTACAATTAGTGCTTACAGCCTATGTACATTTTCAAATTTCTTCAGACTACTACCAGATTCTTTGAAAACTACTAATAATAAATTGTTACGTAAAAAATAAGTTACCTAAATTAACATTATTTATAGACAGCTGGATATGTAAATAATTAAAATTTTTATATTGTCTAACTTGATGATAACGGCTTGTTTTTAATGAGTTCGGGATATAAAATATATTTTTAAAAGTACCGCAACCAGGAAACTAGTTATAACCTTGTTGAAATTTAATAATTGGCAATTTGTAAGGGAATAGAAAACCTTATCGTTTACTAACCTTGGAAAACAAATGAAAAATTCCCATGGCCATCTGTCATGTCATTTAATCTGTCTCTTCCCTTACTATTGTTCAATATGTTGATCAGTTTATTATAATTTATCAGCTGCTATTGAAATAAATTCATTTAAATCATAATGCAGTGACTGTATTATTAAAAAAGATTTAGAAAATGGTAAAGATGGCATATTCTGTGAATACCACCCCATTGCTAGATGAATACGATTCAGAAAATGAAGATGAAAGGCAAATCAATCCGGAAGTTGCAGTTAGGGACGACAAGCCACTGTTTAAAGCCTCGGAACCTAAAGATAAATACTACATGTCGTATTTGATATTTTACTTATTAGGCATTGTTACTTTGCTACCCTGGAATTTTTATGTAACAGCTGATGATGTAAGTGTTCACTGAAGAAACTTTTGTTCTTGATTTTTTGAACATTTTTCTGTAGATTGCTCATTTCAGAAATATTAACAAAATAGAATAACTTAATTCATTAATTTTTTTTAATTTTATAGTACTGGATGTATAAATTTCGAAACACAAGTATAAATAGTTCGGTAGTAAATGCCTCAATGAAAAGAACACCACTACAAGCTGAATTTACTTCGTACCTGAGTGTAGCGTCATCATTTCCAAATTTAATTTTTTTAGTACTGAACACGGCTATAAGTCATAGGTAAGATATAAGATATACAAAATTATTTGATTTGTATATAGATAATAATAATTGTTTAATAATATAGTCATTAAACAGCACTTACCCATTGTAATCATTGAATTGAAAAAATTCATTTATTTAATTTTATAGTTTATCGGTCAATAGTCCCTTTAAAAACATTTTTATTGTTTTAGGATCTCACTAAATAAACGGGTTATGGGATCATTATTTTTCATGTTATTGCTAATGTTGTTCACACTGGCTTTTGTAAATATTAATACAGATAACTGTAAGTAAGTTTAAGGTGAAGACGAAAGCATGTTACAAATATGTTTTAAACAATTTTTAGGTCAACAGTTATTTTTCGGATTGACTTTAACTACTATTGTGCTGCTTAATGGTAAGATCTCTTATTTAATTTCATCCCTTAAAGTCATGTAAGTAAAAGAAATTTTCTACAATTTCATAAACTAACATAAAAGTGTTTTACATCAATATATTTTATAAATAATCTTTCAATTTCTCATAATAACACTAGTTTTCTCTTAAAACTGTTCATATTAAATCTTCATGAAATAGGCCATGACAAACTGTTAGTCAGTTGTTTTTATCCATGCCTACTTTTGCAGTTTGCAGTGCGATATTTGGAGGAAGCGTCTTCGGAGTCGTGGGAAAATTCTCTCCATTCTACATCACTGCCGTTATAGGTGGGCAGGCACTAGGTGGCATATTCGCCGCCCTCGCTGAAATCGCTGCCCTAGCGATTGGAGCATCGTCAACGCACACTGCCCTAGTGTATTTCATCATAGGAAATGTTACAATAGTGATAGCAATAATTTGCTACGTTGTGTTGGAGAATACGGTGTTCTTCAAATACCACATTTCACATCACCCGGAAATTAACAATTTTCAAGGGGAACACGTGCACTTCGAGATATGTTACAAGGTCATTTTGAAGAAAATGTGGTGTCACGGTCTGTCCGTGTTTCTCACGTTTACTTTTACATTGTCGGTTTATCCAGGAGTGACGGTTCTGATCGAATCGGAAGGGAAAGGGCATGGCAATAAGTGGAACGGTAAGATGTTATTTAATAAATTGCAGATAACTTCTTTACTTAATTTTTAGATGTATATTTTGTTCCGACAATCGCTTATCTTTTGTTCAGCGTTGGGGACTACCTAGGACGACTGTTGGCTGGCAGAATACTTAAAGTAAAGTTAAAACATGATTTGATTACTAATTTCCTCTAACGATTGTTTTTGTAGCCGAAAAATATCAGCATACTTATGATACTGAGCATAGCGAGGTTCATTTTCATCCCGCTCCTGATGTTGTGCAACGCACAGCCTAGACACTACTGGGGTGTGGTTTTTGACAAGGATTACCAGTACATCCTAATCTTGTTCATGTGTGCCCTGAGCAATGGATATTTAGCCAATATTGTAGCAATTTATGTTCCTAAGTAAGTAATTGTTGGATTTCAGTTTTTTTATTTTGTTCTTGGTGGCAACATTCAGTTCCCGATTAAAAATTTATTCCTAGTCCTCTTTAATGTTTTTAAAATCATAACTTTTCTTTTTAGGATAGTAGATCACCACGAGAAAGAAATAGCCTCGTCCATCATGACTATTTTCATGGGTATAGGCTTAGCTTTAGGATCTGCCGTTAGTTTATTTATGGTTAGGTTGTTGTAATTTTTAATTTAACCATGAGAACTGCATTATTTCAATAATCGGTACTTATTTTTTTGATGATTTTAAAAAATTATACTTAATATTCAAACTTTGTTTTATATATTTGACATTTTTTTTATAATGCAATTCGGGTCCTATTTTATTTACATCCAGTAGAATCACGTTTTTGTAGTTTAAGTGATATCCATATTTCACAACAGTAAATGTTTAGTGGTAGATTGGCACACAAGTCTTTATTTCTTGACTAAAATAAAAAAAATATGCTTGTTAATTATGATTGCATTAAATAAGATCTCAAATTTCGAAAATACATTTTTTATGTATGTTTTATGTTTCTTTATTAGTTCCCAGGGATTATATATGGTGTGTTCAGTGATCAATTACAAAATCTAAACAAAAACTTTCTTTAAAAACCCCATATAATTTATTGTATATCATTCCAATTTATTAAGGTGCTCATATATGTTATGTGTATATTTTTTTATTTGTTTTTTAAGCAAAAAAAGATAAATCTTTGTATAAGGTATAGTTTTCTCTTTGTTTTATAGGAAAACTAGTACCCAAATAATTGTGATATATTAATTGTATACTTCATTTTATTGTTAAATGTATTTATTTTACAAATTAAATATATTTTATTTTGTAAAGTGGATTTTCATATTTTCCACCCCATTATCAAACTGATTAGTAAAAGACAATCACCGCTTTTCAGGTAGGTAAAAAATGTATAGAATTTTTAATACAGTTGCTCGTATAGTTATGGAAAAAATAGTTTTCCGACTTAAAAATTTAAAAAAAGTTCAAAGAATGAGATAATAAAAACTTATTTTGTTAAGTAATTTAGTATTTTACAACCTTTTCACTGCATCCGAAAATGTTGATTAAAAAATATGACGCCCGTATTTTTTGACCTCGCCTGAGCCTTAAAAAAATCAAATCAAATTTGAGTGCCTTGACACTCCATCAAGGTCAAAACGGATTGGATGTTGATGATCACGTGGTTGCAATGAATCTGTGACCACTGATCACGCATGCATCCAGGCTGATGCTGATACTTTCTCACAAATTTTGACGTTTGTGTTTGTAGGCCGTCAGGATCTAGGGAGCATTGCGATCGACACCATTAGATCTGATAAATTACGCATTTCTCATTATTATTTACTACATTTACAACCTTTATTATTATATTGATTGCTTCTTTTTAAGATGTACTGTCTAGATCTAATCTAACGGCGGGCGTCGACTGCACTGCGCTGCCCTCTGACGGACGGCCTAACTATACCCCTAAAATTATGGGCAATGTCGAGACGGACATCATTCTCCTACTGTATATCCAATGCTATTGATACATGATACAAGCGTAGTTTTTCAGATCTAAGGGCGTTAAAAATAAAAAACTTACCATATTAAATTCCTGTTCTGCCTTGAATTTAAAGCTCACACCTGAAACGGACTGGCGGGCGTCCCGCTTTGTAACAGCCAACCACATGTTCTCCATGATGTCCAGAAGCACATCTAACAACCCAGAAGATGATATTGCAAATATTGCAGATAGCTTTCACCCGTTAAACGATCTGACAAGATAAAAAACCCAAGAGTACTGTAGACACACATTTACAGAAAATCTATCTTGAAAATCCGTTTGCCCATAAACATAGCGATTATCAACTGACCAAACATTAATATTGCAGAAATTTTTAATTAATTTAATTGGGGTAAATGTAGACTCATCCAATCATCCATGACCAAATCGTTTCTGGTTAGGTACTGCAAGAGCTATACTCGCAAAGCCGAACTCTGTGGGGTGGTCTAGTGGCTGAAAGGCTTGAATTTATTGCATATGAAATGGGTACAACCATTGTATAAGTAAATATTTACTTATACAATGGTACAACTAATTTCCCCGCAATGTTGTCCAAATTATTTTTTGGCTCAATTCGACGAGTAGGTACCTACTTGTTGGGTCTTCCTCAACAAAATGTAAAATTTATTTCCTCCCGTTGCACGTTTTCTGGTACTTAAGGTCTTCCTACATGCTCTCCATAATGTTCCCACAAATCACCAAAGATATGTCTCGCAACCCGAACAAATGATCCTCTTGAGGGGTGAAACGGTAAGGGAAAACGGTGGTACCCTTATAACTGGAATTCAGCATTGGCGCTCTGACGACACTAAGACTAAATATGTAAATTAACACCATGTCAACTAATTCCACTATTGCATAAATGACGTAGTCACTTATGAGAGAAATTATTAAAGCAAAAATCACGGTCAAAATTCACGATAGGACTGACACGAACATACAATAAGATAAGAAAATATAAACATTAATAAAAAACCGATAATAGATGTTTATGTAGGTACTGCTTGTTTTGAATAGGCGGGCGATGGACTTGCTTGTTCTTTGTAAGGCCCGGCTTGAATTTTTTTTATAATTATGAAAGGCTGCAATTATCTTCTTCTGGAGTTATTTAAACAATAGTATTTGAAAAACATTTTTGGTTTGAGTAGTTTTACACGCTGTTAAAAATGTTATTACTCAATTTAGGACTCGCCATATACAGAGTGTTCTAATGTTCAGGTCAGGGTAGGTACATGAAATAACTACAAATTCTTGGTGTCAAAATAAGACAGTTATTATATTAAACTTATAAAGCACTATTTCGTTTTAGTTTTCAAAGAATAGACGACAATTTTAAATCAGATTTGCAAAAAGAGATGACCAAAAAGAGATTCTTAAATTCATGACATTGTTGACCTAATAAAATATTATGCCTAGTAAAATTATTAATTTGGCGAAAGCTTGAAAAAAGCCTTTATATTAAAACTATGAATTGAAGATGAAAAAGTCATACCCACAAAACAGATATATGACCGCGTAGGGTTAGGGAAATTTTTCTTTCTTAAAAAGTTGTTACTATTTAAAGAAACAAGTTTTGTACTAAAAGGTAAATTGATCTAAATTGGTTTATTTTCATTCATTTCACCTTTATTACAGTACGCCCATTTTCGGTCACTCCGTATATTATTATTTAATAGAAGGCTGACTTTGGAAGTCGACTGCGCTTTTTTTATCAAAAACGGTGAGGTTTAGAATAGGTACTTATTTTTTATGTAAAACCTTACTAAAAAGAATAACATAGGTAATTATTATAAGCAACACATATAACAAGAAACTGTACCTCAAAATAACGTTGTAGCACGTGTGATCTCTATAGCAGTTGGTTAAAAATTAATAATGATGATTACGCCTCGAAAATCGCCTGTACTTACCAAATTTCAAATTATTACAATAATTTTTGAAAAGGTTTAAAAAAATTGATACAAAAATCGTATTTAACGCTCAGCATATCAAAAGACGGTTCATGATCTATAGAAAAAGAAATCGTCTTATTTTTTAATGATTTATCGGTCCCTGAATTGAATTTAAGTATATTATCTTATTTTTTTTCAAAAAGAAATATATAGTTAAGTTAAATCATACTATTTTTATTTCAATGATATACTAGGTATATAGCTCCGTGTATACGAAATATTGGGTCACCTGTAGTATATACTAGATATTGAATTTTATGATAAAGATAGGGACTACAGAAAAGTTAAATTTATACAACAAATTTATAAACAGTCTGTCTAAACTGAACACGTGTGTATTATCAATTAAGAGCAATTATATAGTCAATAATAAGTACCTAGTATGGTTAGAAATAAAGTGGCTCCTGCAATAATGGCAAAGGTCTTTGCACACTAAGCGATAGCTAGCACTGTCTCAAAAAAAGTGTGGATCTCATGGCCTCCTCGGCCTTCCCGAATTGGCAGTTATTTAAAATTGGCGCGTGCAGACATGGGCGTACTGTCACGCAACTTTCAAATCAACAAAATTTTGGTAGTTTTGTGATGTAGAGTTTACAAATACTGGGTCCACCATATGTTTTCTGGGACCGCCAGTGGTTGGCAACCATTAATCTGCGTGGTGTCAGATCTTTTTTATATATATTTGTGGTGTCGGACGTAGGCGTTTCAGTCAAGGTCGTATTGTGATTCGAAGGAGTTGAAAATGAAAATGGGGAAAGCGTATGCCTCGCCAGAAATTTTCCTGTAATTAGTAGGTATTGGGCCACTGGAAATTACCAATAGAGAAGATATAGAAAAGCTCTAGTGATCAAAAATAAATTGTACTGTGCTACTGACCATTAACATACAAAGTGTAGTGAATATTTATAACCTAAATGTTAAGTTCAAGTTCTTTGAAACAGATTTGAAACTATTTTATTTACAATTACAGTTAGAGTGTTTGTTGTGTTGTTGTGTGGACTTGAGTCAAATATGAGGTGGATATCCAATTTGGAAGGTGGACCCAAAAGGGTGAACCATGCAGCTGTTAGTGTAGGACACAAAATATACTCATTTGGGGGCTACTGTACAGGAGAGAATTCGAGGGAATATGCGTCTATGGACGTTCATGTGCTGAACACTACCACTTTTAGGTGGACCAAACATCCTGTCAGTGATTTGCCCTATTTTGAAAACGATGATATACTACCCTTTAAAAGGTTTGTATTTGATAGTAGTTAATCTGTGATTCAGTTTATTTATAATCATTTACTTATAATTCCTTTAAAAATTATATTCATTCTGTTGTTTTGCAATAAGTATATAGGTACTTATCGCCTTATATTTGCAGTTTGGTTTATTTTGAAATTGTTACATAGGGTTTTTATACTTTTCCTGTAAATATCTACTGAAAAACAACTAAGTAGGTAGGTATGCTAATAATCTTGTTTACATAACAATCTTCATATCACCTAGGAATAATTTTTTCAATCAGAATATTTACAATGTTTTTACTAGCATTTTTGTTTACTGTTTTATAATGTTCATAAATTTATCAGTTAATTTAATATCACCTATCGTGATGCATAAAACAACACAACTTTAGAGAAATTTACAAATGCTATGAAAATACACCTATACAAGTTTATACTTGCAATAAGATTGTAAAACAACCACTGTAGGTATGTTATTATTAAGAATACATTTTCACCTGAGTAATAATACCTAGTCCATAATAGGTACCTAATATTTTTTGTAAAAAATGCCTTAATATACGATTGCATGTGTTAGGTATTAAAAAATATGCTCCATTAGCAATATCAACTTTATTATCTGCATTCAAGATTTTTAATACTTGAACGACATGAAATAGTAATTTCATTATTATTATCCCTGTGAAATTTTAAATACATTTAAAGTACCCTAATGACTGGCAATTTTGATATGTAAACTAACAGTTGTTTTTAAGATATAACTGTAGCCCATATTGTATTCTGTTATTTGGGATATAAATATTAATTGTTCTTGTCCTTGCTCAAATTGACGAATAACTGTAGGTAGGTATAATGTTCAATTATTAAAAATTTAAATAACTACATATCATTATTTTTAACAAAACATTGACTAAAGTTGAGAATGAGTAGTGTTTTCCTATTATTTAAAATAAATGTACCTGTTCAAATATTGAATGATTCTTCAAGATATGGACACACGGCAGTGGTACATGGCGACAAAATATACATATGGGGTGGAAGAAACGACAGAGCGACATGTTCGACACTTTTCTGCTTCGATACAGTCTGGCATTGCTGGACAGCACCCAAGACTACAGGAAATATACCTCTAGCTAGAGATGGTCATACGGCATGCATGTGGAAAAACTGTATGTTTATATTTGGAGGATACGAAGAAGAATCTGATGCTTTCGCTAGGTCCGTCTACTGTCTTAATCTCGACAAAATGACCTGGTCGATAGTACATACTTCAGGTGAGTGATATTGTATAAGAATAGATTGTAGGCGGTGATAGATATATTCAAATACTATATCTCATGTTTTTTTTTGTAATAAATAACTATTAAACAGAGAAATAATGTTAATTACTTATATTGTAGATAAATTCAAAATTATCTAAGTAATTTATGGCTTAGAGTGTTTATTTTATACCAAAATAAGCTTAAACTTGTTAGTTAAATAATTGTCATATAATACTTATATGTCAATATTCTTTCTACATAGAATTAACGCAGTTGGAGTCAAAATAAGACATTTTATTTGAAAGACAAGTGCATAGAAACAAAATTAGAGATAATATTTAAAAAACTCATAGCAGATTTTATTTAAACAAGCAGTAAACCTTTTGACTAAGGTAGTCATTATTAATACATATTAATATAAATAAACAGATTACCTACTTTTAAAAATTAGGGAAATACTGAAATCCTTCAAAATAAATTTCTGATAAAATAAACATGGCGAGTTTACAATATGAATAGTAAAAATACTTTTTATTCAATAAAACGATGTTTTTGATATAACTATAACTGAAAACTTAACGGGCCAAAATTTATTTTCGGAATATTCATTAAATTGTCATCTTTAGAACCTCCTATTTTACATTTGAAATTGACGTAATAGTTTTGTAATACTATGCAGAGAGTTTTGGAAAGTTGCCCAGCTTCAGTGAGAGGTAAGAAAAGTATTCAGATTAATGTGTATTGCTTTTAATTGTAACATTAAAACACAAAACAAAGGAACCAATGATTTGTTTGTAGTTGGCAAGGACAACGTGTAACACGTATTTTCGAATTAAAAACATATACATCTAATTTATTTTCAGCTTATGTTATGGAGAACATTTGTAGAGTTTTAAGAAATATACCATTGAACTGAATAAAATTGTTTGAAAATTTAGTGGAAATATGAAAAAATATTTTTTTATATAGAGAGAGAGATTTATATATTCTGTGAGAGAAACCCATTTTATATTTACTATTTTGTGGAACTGTTTTAAGAAATTGGTTGCATTTAAGATTACCGACATTTAGAATCATAATAGCAAACCATAAAAAAATATACATACAATTTGTGCTAGATTAATATAATTGCAAAACAGACCTGTGTGTCTAATACTTTTTTAAATATTTTTAAAAAATGTGGCAAAACTGTAGAATGCAACTGTCGGAATAAGTATTGGAAGTACTAAAAATCACCAAAATTGTTAATAAATTATACCTAGTGTTATTTTATCAGATTTTATACTAATATATTGAAACCAATAAATTGAAATTCAATTTATTTATTACATATAACTTGATCAATTCATTTGGTCAATAATTGAATAAAACATGTTCAATACATAAATCGTAGCTTTCCTAACATCAATTAATTGGTCAAGAAATCTAGTATGTTTTAATTTAATGGCCAATTTTAATATTTAAGTTATTTTAAAGAAAAGAATTTGGACTAAAATTTCTTAGTGAAAACATGTCGACTGACCAAAAAATCCCTCGAACAACCGTCATAACTGTCTGACAGTTTTGGTTTCAGGCATGGAACCGTCTCTGCGGGACTTCCACACTACGGTTTGCATAAAAGACCGAATGTACCTATTCGGGGGTCGTGGTACGATATTCCCTAACCATTATACTTTGACGGGAGCTCAAGAGACCTACTCGAACCAGCTCTGGTACTTGGACTTCAAGACTTTCACGTGGCATGCCTGCATGGTCACTGGAGACATACCGGTGGGGCGCAGAAGTCACTCAGCTTGTGAGCATGATAGAAACATTGAAATAGTGCCGGTATTTTAACTTTTCTTTTCAGTTGTATACAATGATAAGATGTATATATTCGGCGGTTACAATTCCGTGAAGGACCAGCACTATAACGACATGTACGAGTTTAATCCGGATACTAACGCGTGGAAGAGACTGAATTGCAGGGGCAAGGGGCCCAGTGAGAGGAGGCGGCAAGCTTGTATTCCTGTTGGCGATAGGATATTTCTCTTTGGGGGCACAAGGTCAGTATCTTTGTCGTTTCTTCGAACATTTCTAATTGTTCCCGACAGCCCTCAGCAACAATCGAAGGTGGGCAGCAATCATGGCGAGGAAATGGACGACATACTGATGGATCACAGCGACATGTACGTCCTGGACTTCCAACCCACTCTGAAGACACTGTGCATCATAGCGGTCAGGCAATATAAATTGGACGAGTCTGTGTTACCGACCAATGTAAAGTAAGTAGTCGTTTAAAAATGTTATTTTTCATATTTAACTATTGCGTCAGGTTTAATTGAAAAATTGTATGTCGTACATTTATACAGAGTGGGCCAATTTTGATACTTCGGGGGGACTTCTCATATTTCCTGAGAAGATAAATAAAAAGTAGTTCAAATGTCCCTAATTAGATTTTTTTAGAAATTGAATGTTCATTTAAGAAATACAAAGTTTGTCTTCATTTTTAGTCGTTAGTTTTTTTTAAGTATAATTTAGTGGTGTACATCAATTTTGTTTATAATTTCAGTTTTTTAATTATTACAGCCCACTTTTTTAAAATTCTGTAGTGTCGTATCAAATAATGCACACAAAAAATTTTTTTGGTTGAATTACAAAAAAATAAATCATTTTATTTTTTTACATAAATGTATACACAATATATCATTTGAAAAAATTGTTACTCAAATTTGGAAAACCATAAAGTATATAGGGGTTCTGTAAAAAATTTGTTTGGTAATTGATAAACCTAATGTTGATTAATATATTTGTACAGGGTGGACCAGTTTCGAAAATTTGGAAAACTTTGTATTTCCCTCTTAAAAAACCTCTTGATAAAAATTTTTGGAAAAAGTTATTCGATGTCATAGAAAACAGCCAATAACCAAAAAGACCTTTTAAACAAATCAAAACATTGAAACATAGTTTTCGTTCATTTTTTTTCCCTACTCTTTCACTTTAGGACATACAAAGAACCTTCCAAAAGTGTCGATATATTCCCACTATGTGCAGTTATAGACAATAAGAAGTTTTTGACCTAAACTTCTCAAGAGTTTTATTAATTTTGCCTTTAAACTCTATTGAATGAATCGGTAACCTTATTTTTGTCCACATTTGTACATCCTATACTAAAACAATAATTTTCTCTTTCAGATTGGATATAATGAATATGTTCACACCGAATAAAATAACGATTAACAGGCCAAACAATTCAGCAGGTTAAATATTGATATGTATATCCAAATTTTCTCATTAAGTTTCTTGTAAATATCTCGGGTACATTTAGATCTACAAAATGATAACTTTATTAAGTTTCCTTTGTGATAAAATTATAGGTCTGGACGTACCTACCCCAAAACTTTTTTATTTCGATATATACGTGTATATATTCATTTATTTTTTCGAAAAGACAATTTTATTTTTCTACAGTTGCGTTGAATGCAGTAACTTAAGTTGTCGTCAATGTTGTAACGTGTCTACATTCAGATTGGCAAGAGTGGGTATGATTATCGATCCAGTATTTTGAAGTTCGCAATTTATTTTTCTTTTTTTTTTGTTTTTGTCAACTCACGTTATATGTCCACATAGAAAAAGATTTATTCAATTTTAATACCAAATTTACTATTTTATTTTTCTGTAAATTATAATATAAACAGTAAAATTTAATAAAATGTATTATTTACTATTTAGTTTGTGGGTTCATTTTAATTGTAATAATATAGTTACCACAAACCTGATATAATGTTTTATTTTCTTCTTTTGAGAAGGAACAAATGAATGCTATTTGATATATAAATTCTGTTGAACATAACCTCAAAATATTCTGTCACAGAATGTTCAAATTTTATTTTACAACAGAACTTATAAAAACATCTATTGAACATTTGTTGTCGTTAATAAATAAATCTAGTAACATAGAAGAAACTCTAGACTGATTGGTCTCTTAAAATATTTTTGAGATTATGTTTAATTAATGATGCTAGTTTAAAAATGATTGATTAAGTAGAAGCAAGGCCCTCAAATGGTGATATTTATTAAATGAACTGTAAGGATCGAAAATCCAAGTATTTAGAGAAATAGAGATGTTTATATCTAACATGTTGTTTTATTTCTATTTACTAATCATTTTCCATGTTTAATAGCTAACTCGGATTTTTAACTTTTATTGAGATCAAATATAATCTATAATCAATCTACTGCATAATTTTTTAATTAGGATATCTAAATTCTGAACTAGCCTCTCTGGCTAGTGGCTAATGCTATGGCCAGTACTGTATTATAGGTTTTGTGGCCACCCTGGCCCTGTTTTAATAGTTAGTTGCTTTTTTGAAGCATAGAACACGCAATCGCGTGCTGCTAGAGAGAGATAGCAAATACCCTCCTATACCTCTGTTTCTGTAAACCTCCGTTACACTCTCGGCCACTGAGACGCTGCCTCCAGTAGTATATGCTCTAAGGTTGCTTTTCAATTACCAGTGCTCCTAAAGTGTTCTACCGTCAGGCCCGGGTCTGGACCCAGGGGGTGGCGATGTGGCGATTGCCACACCAAAGCACAACATTTTTTAAAGATCTTCAATTTCTCCAAACGACAACAGGCAGCTAGTCGATATTAATGCAAGTAGAAGGATTCATTAGTGTAAAGCTCCTCTGAAAAAGTGCCACATTTTTCATTAGTTTATTGCTATTTTGCAATGCAAATTTTAAAAATTTTGGTTCGCCAATATGCCTATCTTGTACAACATTCAATAATGAACAAAAAATCTTTAGTTACTTTTTTTCGTCCGAGGCTTCCTTTACGAATAATAAGCGATAATATCCGAAAAAACGGGCCATTTTTGAATTATTTCGCACTTTTCATTAATTTAAACAAACTTCCCATGGTTTTCAGCTTTCCGCAGGTCGATATTCCGAATGTACACATTTTCCCGGTTCGATTAAAAAAAAACAGGTTTACATCAAGCAACAGCCATTTCGGCTCGTTTTTTGGCTCCGCCGACTGGACTATTATGACTTTTAACGAAACGGAGACAGGTAGATAGAGCCAGTCAATAGATTGCCTGTCTGCCTGTTAGGATTTTCCGTACGCCTGTCTCAAAACGTTTATGGCGCAATAAATTTTTATGGCTTGAATGGGAAATTT